ATGTGTGTGTATTAATCGACGTGATTTTTGTCTTTGCAGGAGAACTATCATGTGGTGGAACATACAAAGGTGTAACTGGTAGTTTCTCTAGTCCAAATAAGCCTTCTCCTCCTGGTGGTGTGTATGAAGATAATTTAGATTGTACATATATCGTTGATACTCCGATGGCTTCCTCCTATGACGTAGCGATCGATTAATTCCAATTAGAAAACAAGCTTGATTTTCTGTATTATGGCGTTGGGACTAATTCCAGTGATATAAAAAATGCCAAGTACATAACGGGTGATATGGTCAACCTCGAGATTAATCGATTTACACTTGATGGTAGAGAGATCTGGTTTCGTTTCATCACGGATGAATCCGTCGGAATGGATGGATTCTCTTTATCGTATAATGCTACAGGTAGTATACACGACTTACTTATTTGTATAAATTAGGCCTAATATTCTAATAGACCTGTTCAACTTAATTTATCATACATAATCCGGGGAGGAGGGGTGGGGGGAGTACATGTTGAGTCCCATCTTGGGTTACAGGTATTCATTTATTCATTCATTTATAAAAAAAAAATAAATAATTAAAAATCTTTCTCAATGGCTGTGCATATGTCAACCATTATCGCTGTCTCTTATACACATCTAGATGTGTATAAGAGACAGTATGCAAACTTTGTACGAAGTCCGCGTTTTGATAAAAGTAAATCAGAATCTAAACGCCCAAATAATTATGCCTTAACTATATATAACAATGTATAACAATCTAACAATGTAGCGTGCAAGTCATCACCTCTTGAGACAAAGGTGCATGTGCGGTTCAGATATAATTTGGTTATTTTCAAAGATAATTTGTGATAGGATTGGCTTAGATCAACATATTACAACTTGGGGTTGAACGACGTACGGGTTCTATCATTTTAAAATCATCGTGATTTAGTGTATCCAGAACATTAGGTGAATTAACGTTCAAAGAGAAAGATGTTGGGTGGTAGGCTCTCTCTGATTGGAGTGCTTATAGCTATCTTTTCCGTAACAAGCGGTATGTACTTGTATACCTGTCTCTTATACACATCTAGATGTGTATGTATATACACATATATACAAAAAAACGCATATAACGGGATACATACAAACATCAATAATGATGATTGAAATGGTGTTGCGAAAATATTCTACAGCCGCTGAGGTGCCACTGGTGGAACGTTACTGTACTATTCCAAGGAAAAACAATAGGCCCATTAGAAGTGATTGTTATTATTATTGTTTAATTGGTTATTAGTGTGAATATAAAACATCGAAACAAGAATAGAATGACAACAATGAAGTATACAAGTACATACCGCTTGTTACGGAAAAGATAGCTATAAGCACTCCAATCAGAGAGAGCCTACCACCCAACATCTTTCTCTTTGAACGTTAATTCACCTAATGTTCTGGATACACTAAATCACGATGATTTTAAAATGATAGAACCCGTACGTCGTTCAACCCCAAGTTGTAATATGTTGATCTAAGCCAATCCTATCACAAATTATCTTTGAAAATAACCAAATTATATCTGAACCGCACATGCACCTTTGGCTCAAGAGGTGATGACTTGCACGCTACATTGTTAGATTGTTATACGTAGCGATAATGGAGACAATGAATGAATAAACTACATAACATTTTATGTAAATAGTTAAGGCACAATTATTTGGGCGTTTAGATTCTGATTTACTTTTATCAAAACGCGGACTTCGTACAAAGTTTGCATATCAATCAAGACGTGTATGAAGTATAAACTATATCTAGCTAAACAAATTGAAATACACTGAAAGTCATTAGAGTATCATCAGACGCTGCCGAAAATAAACAAGGGGAGATAAAATGTACCTTTACTGGATGGGTGTGTCTGAATTGATTCCTGTCCCCCACTTTTCATGTGACTGGCGCTTGAGGCAATGGCGGCGCCAGCGGGGGGTGGGCAGGGACTTAAGTCACTATTTAAAAAAAAATCTCATTCCCAAACCCTCCCTCTCAGGCATTCAAGCTCAAACCCCCCTGTCTGACAGTTTAGCCACCCCAACCCCTGAAAACGTATTCCAGAGCCGCCACTGGCTCGACGATACGTCATTTACTTTACAGGAAATGGCACCATGGACACTCCACCTGCAATTCTACCCCGGTATCTTCTCCCCGTAGTTTGTTTAAGTATATTTCCTCCAGAATTTTTCCCACTGATTTTTTTTCAAGCAGAACTAATATCAATTTGTTCAATTTTTTCGTTAATTTCCCCCCCGTGGACTACCTTTTAACGAATATCTTTTGGACTTAGTCGTTCTATAATATGCCTATATACTCAATATTTGCCTGCATCATTATTATTACCCAATACTGCAGTATGCCTTATTTCTTGTAAGGAGTGGCATAAAGACGACGCAGTGATACTATTTGATTGCCGCGTCTGCTCTTTTATAGCAATATTAGTGCCAATTAGTGATTCTCTTCTGCGATTATTATCCTTACTTTCATTTCAAATTCTCTGTTACATTTGTTGATAGCATAACATGCTTAATATAGGCATATCTTATTTATTTTATGTTATTTAACTTGTTTAATTAATTAATAATATTATATTAACTTACCTTTATAAAATGTATTCGTGATATATCGTTTTTTTATATTACGTTATAAGAACGTTACATTAACGTTACCGTTTGGTGTTGAAAAAGTTATTTTGTAGAACCATAAAGTAATTATAAGTATTAATTCACAACTACATAATGTTACGTGAACGTCATTTTGTGACATACGGTACCGAAGTTGCGCGAATGGTATAAGAACGTTTTGTTACAGCAACGACAACCAACAACAACGGCAGCAATAGCAGCACAAACAGCAGCAACAACAGCCCGGGGATATGTCGAATCAATTTT